TCCCCCTCGAGAGTACTCACACTGAGTGTGCTGGTAGAACACAAATGCTTAGAAAAATACAAATGTACTGGGGAAAACAACAAGTGATTTGAGTCACTGTCCAACACACTGAAGTCACACATCAGATACACCGTGTTGGGTCTTGCCACTGTTGGCAATGTCAGGAAAAGCACCAAACAGGACATCGTATGGAACCAACAAGGCATCTGGATGTGGCCACATGCTCTTCAACACATGACTCAACTTGGAAAACATCTCCCAGGTTTAGCGTTATGTATACACAGGCTTGAGAAGGACACTGAAAAGGGACAGTATCTTCAGCAGCAACAAACTTGAAGCTGATGACCGCAAGTAGCCCAAGTATGATCTAGTAGGTCGGAATTAACCTCAACATATCACACAAGCAGTATCTTCTTTAAGGGAAGAAAAACAAAGACGCAGGAGGGGCACGATGAGGGGCACCAAAAGTGGAACAAATATTTAAGCGAAACACCATTTATCCCATTAGTCTCGAGAAAGTACAAAGGGTTGTAATTCAGCTATGATAAGTTGAAGAACAAAAAGCCACTGAAACAGCAAGTTCGTGGCCCGGGACTCAGAGGAATTTGGCTCTGTTCAGTAGTTGGGCAAAGGAGAAGAATTTCTTCCCTTGCAAGCAACGGTGTTCAGGTTGCATCCCCCGAGGCCCCTGCCGCAGTCACTGCCGCAGCCTCGTGTTTGGGCAGCTTCCCAGAACTCGGACGAGATTCCTTTTGCAGCCTCAATGTTATTGTATAGAAGCTCCACAGGGACGGGCTTCTGAGGGACACAGGAACAGAACCCAAACCCTCAGCCATGAAGCCCCTGGGCTCGGATTCGTCGATCTAGGGCCGCCTTTGCCTGACACCTCGGATACGCCTGTCTGCCACCGCAAAGCAGCCTTGGAGCAGCCTGGAGCAAGTCGTGCTCCGCCTTCGGGCACGTCGCACGGCCGAGGGCCGGCTGAGCCCACCAGCACAGCCAGAAAGGCCCTCTGGAGACACCAGCCCCACCGGAAGGCCCAGTGACCTCCACAGGGGAGCGTGGTCTGCGGGCGGCCATCATCCACAGCACACAGACACCTCAACTGCTGCTCCCCACAACTGTACCCTCCCTTAGCTCATGAAAGCTCCAAGGTCACTTCCAGATCCCACCAGAAGCTTCTTAGATGGGCTGCAGAGAGGACTGTATCCCCAAAACAGGGAAGAGAAAAAGGCACCTCTAGGGAGTTGACCTGAAGCACATGTCTCTGGCCCCTATACTTTAATGCTGACTCTCCTGCAAATCTTGGTGACTACCTCATGCGATGGCATCTGTGTTCAGTGAGCTGAATGCCACCCTCTGCCATTGCTTTACACCACAGCTGCACGTAACGGCTCTGCTGACCCACTAGCGCCTGAAGAAACACCCACAAACAGGCAAAGCACCAGTATTAATCAATCTCACGTGCCACTGTTTTGGAGCTTGGCATTTCTGTTCTGCTACCTTTGGTGTCACAGATTGCTCCATTTTCCTTGCCCCAATGGGGAACACTGCCTTTTTTCACACCATAGTAGAGTAACTTAGGAATTAACACTAAAAATAGTTCAACTGTTCTTCATTAGAAAGGCTGTTCTCATCTTTATATCTGCTAATTTTGTAATCAGGCTCAAGTTTGCTTTCTTTTTCCCTCTATTAGGCCAGCCTAACGTAAGGTCCAAGTCGAGTGCGTTCAGAGGGAGAACATCACTGCACATTTGATGATGCTCTCATCAGTGCACAGCGCTCCACGATGGCAGATAATCTCTGTCATGGATTCTGCTTGATTCAAAGCATTCCCCTTAAGAAAACCTGCCCAAGGAGCTGAAGAAAAGGAGTTCTGCAAGGAGCTGCTTCATTGAAGAGCAGCTGTTGTTACCGTTGAGCTCTTGATTTAGGGACATGAGCCACCCACCCACGGGGGGTTTTGCTTCCTATTTAAAGCACAAGGAGTTGATGCCTGTAACCAGTCACCCTGAGTAAGGCGGGTGGTCTGAAATGAACGCTCGTCTGGCAAAGCCACCACGGCCCCTGCCCTGAGCCACCTCGAGGGTTAAAGCAAAGTCCAGGTGGGCGGGAAGGCTCTGTAATCCGGCGCACGGTGCTGCTTCCTTACCCGCAGCTGAGGCTCCAGCAAACACCAGACAGGGAACTGAAGGTCACTGGTTCCTCTGAGCGTTTTGGGTTCACACGGGGCCGTCACGGTGCTGCGGCACTGCGAGCTGTGCAAAGCAGGCTAGGAAATCTCCCTGCTATTTTCACAAACCACTTGTCAACTCCTTCAACCCTGTCTCAAGCCTTGCAGGAAGGGGTGTTTTTCTTGAAGTTCATCCACCAACTGGATTGAAGAGACTGCGTAAAGACCTTCTCTCTCCTCTTAGAAATGACACAGAAATAAATAGTTTCTATTCCGCTTGGCTATGGAGAAAGATTTGAAAATGTGAAGTGAGAGTAACCTAAAGCTTTAGAAACAAGATGACAATTACTCGGAAGCAACGCTTGTTTCTGTTCACTTCAAGACTGACTTCTAAGCTTATTTCACATCTTTGCAACCTCTAATTGCTCTATCCTCACAGAACGCACGGGCACACAGAGGAAAGATGCCCGGCATCACAGATCCTTCTCCAGAAAAAAATGCAGGAATAGGGAGACAGAAGCCCTAATAAAAGCATTATCCAAGTCCACTGATGTCTTTTCATTGAATTTTGCGGATTTGGGATCCTGTTATCCTGAGACCAGCTTTGGCTTTTAGGAGTTCCCATGCACCACAAACCCAGCAACCCCCATGCCGTTCTTCAAGGCACCGGCTGAGCGACACAACCCGAAATCTCCGTGCTCCACGTTGTACTGACATCAGCCCAGACTTCACATTGTCACATATTGTTACCTACTGAGGCTATTTACAAGCAATTTCAACGGCCAATGTTTCTCCAAAGTGGAAACAAGTTAGAGATATTACACTCCTCTTTATAGAAATGGTTAAAAAGCAAACAGCAATTCCAACTATTTTTATATAGTCATTCCTTCATCACACAAGCCTTCAAACTACCAGGAAATTAAAACCTCATTTATCTTTGGACAGGGTACAGAATAAAAAGCATCTAATCCACTAAAAACAACAAACATTTAAAAAGCCGCAGAAGCTGCTGGCCAGTGCCTGCAAGCACCAGTATCTCAATTCTGCACTTTGTTGCCAACGGCCTGAAATGGGCAGATCTCCCTGGACCCAACGGGCTGCCCTCCAGGCTCCCTGTGACCCATCTGCCACGGCCTGGCACCCCCACGAAGGGCAGTGCCGCCGAAGACAACACCACGTGTGGACAAGACCATGCAGCTCAAAGCCGCCCTCTGTGCCCCTTAGGTGTGTTTGGTTTATGCAGCTCATTTTAATAAGGACAACCTTCTTTCTCTGCACCAGGTATGGCAATAGTCATAGTATAATAATTCATTCTTGATATTTTAAGATATTTTAAGATTTATTTGTGCATTACCATTACTTATATAATAAGACTCTGTTGAACATTTGAAAGCTCAGCACAGGACAAATACAGAGGAAATCAGCAGTTAGTCTGCTGTAAGACTCCTGCTTTTGCCTCATTTGGTCTGTCACTATCGCTAGAGGTTGGCTGACAAAACATCAGCAGATGTCCATCAATACCTGTTGCATTAGCAAGGCTGCCACCTCCAGCATGGTGAACCCGGCCAGCTCGACAAGCATGTATTTTTAATGGAAGTTCCTGTCCAAGTTACTGACATCAATAATAAGCAAATTGTTGTGACATCAAGTGCATAAATAAAATCTGAAACCTGTGAGAAAGGTTTGCACACCAGGGACCATCCCTTCCTGCAGGCACGCAGAGCGTACAGCACAGAGCGTCCGGCATCAACCGGACACCGATTATAACACAACCGCAGGACACTGGTGCCAACCAACTGCGTGAAGCACTGTTTAAAAGCCAGAAGTTCACATCCAGCCTTTCATCACCTCCAGCTGACCGCGCACATCGCAGGACAGCAGCTCCTTTCTGCATGTTTGACTCGAGGCAGTAGAGCTGACCCTACCTGGCAAAGGCCGTGACTTCAGCAGGCTGGGGCAGCACTGCCCCTTCCAGCTGGGATAACCAGGTCACCAGCAGTGCCCAGCCAAAGCGAACGGGGCCACAGCACTTTGCTCCGTTTGCAGCGGTACATCAGGGAAGGTTTATTCCAGAAAACAGGCAAGGGCAACGCAACGCAATGGCCTGCAATGAGTTGAATTCTGCTTTCCAAAGAAGGGGGAAAAAAGAAAGTGGAGGGAGAAAAATTTCATAGCTTGGACTTTAGTTTCTGAAAACACAGCAAGACTTTTCAAACACGATGCTTCCGTGACCTCTGTCT